TGGGGTGGGGTGGGGTGGGGGCGGGACCTAGGTAGGTGGGTGGGTGGGGGACTCAGAGCAGTTGCCATGGAGACGAGCTGCCACCGTCGCCTCTGGCCTCCTGGAGTCGGAGCCAGGCTACCGGCGGGCGGGGGTCGGGGGAGGGACGGGAATACACCTCAAGGGTGGGAATCCAAAGGCTGCGTCTCACAGCTCGAAGGAACGACGGTCTCCTTCCCAGGAGCTCTCTCTCAGTGCCCGTTGTACGGAAAACCAACCCGCACTTTCCGAGACCTGCCCAAGGTCACAGAAGGGAGAGTTCTGGGCTTCGTGCCTCCATTCCCTTGTCTCTAATACTTTCTGCACGGATGGGTGTTTTAAGGTCTGACACCCCCCTCCAGGCTCCCTCGCGTTCACAGGCGCTCGTCTGGCCATTGTGGCCAGGTGCTAAGGAGCCGGCTCGGGCCCAGAGCAACCCGGTGCAGGCACAACAGAGCCAAACGCTGTGCCAGCCCCTCCTGGTCCCTATGCCACTGTGTGCATTCAGCTGGTCGAAGGCCTCCCCCTCCTTCTCTGCCCCTCCATCTTTCCCTTCTCCAGGGACTGGTCTCTCCTGGCAAGATGTCCAAAGTATGTCGGGCAAGTCTCACCATCCTTGCCTCTAAGGAGCACTCTGGCCCTGCTTCTTCCAACACGGGTTGGTTTGTCCCTTTAGCAGTCGGTGCCACTTTCCAGATTCTTCCCCAGCACCACGATGCAGGTGCAGCGGTTCTTGTACATCTGGCTTAGTCCATGTCCCGCTTTCACATGCAGAGGAGGCAGGAGAACGCCGGGGCTTAGATCAGGCGCACCTTAGTCCCCAAAGTAACCTCCTTGCTCTTCCATGCTCTACGGAGGGCCTGTGCAATAGATTCACTCCAAATGGTAACAACCTACTCACACGTATTCGGCTACCAATATACGTGTGTGTATACTGGTCTCAGAGTGTCACAAACTATTATCATTCCGCTACTAATCTGCACGCTGGCAAATGGGACCCACCCCACTGCACAGAAGAAGAAGTGCCTGGTGATCTGTTTACGTACAGATCACAACCAAAATGAGCAAGCAAACAAATACTCCGAACACCCTATGGAACAGAACGGATCTTCTCTTTACACACGAGGTCACCACAAAGTAG